ATATATACAAAGACTTTTCTCCCAGAGGATTAAAGTAGAGGTGGTGGTGAAACTTTAGTAAAGAGTGCATGATTTAAAAATATCTTTACTTTTAAATCATGTAAAATACGATGGAAAATTTACCAGCTCACCACCCCTCCTGTGTGAAAACTGAATCCTCTCTTGAAGTACTGCAGGCCACTCGAAAAGCTGAACTTGCTGCTTAACTGAGAAAAAACCTCCATAAAAATTTGTTTTGTACAACTATTCCAACCTGATGAGGATGAATGAACACGGGGTCTGGTTTTACAAAGAGATTTTAGTTAGATTTTCTTTTTTTATGGTTAAAGCATAAAATCTGTATTTTTAAATAAAAATAAAAATAATCTATGAGATCTACAAACGTTTAAATTTCACTGTTCAGCTAGTTAAGGTTAGCTGTTGATCCAGTTTTAATTAAATCCAAATTAACCTCCTTATACCTGTCAGAAAATTTAAAAAGTACAATATAGTTACTGAGACTATCACACTGTAGTAATCTGAGCTAAATCTGAGATTATACTGTAGAAGTATATATAAGCCTGATGCAAATTTCATCTTATTGTGGTTGAAAAAGTAAAATCATAGTCATAGACAACTTGTAGATAAAAAGTATCGTTGCATTAATGCATAGTTTACCTTTTGAGACAAAGCTGTAAATACAGTACAGCCATAAACATGAGTGTAAAATTAAACTGGAATGACACCAGATAATTACAATAAGCAGATTTAACTAAACCAAATGTTTCACTTAGACTTTAAAATCTAAAACATTGTTCTTAGGATCAGAACATTAACTCTAACAGTTGAATACAAATCTAATTTTAGGAACTTTTTAAATTACAAATTGTAGCAAATTAAACTAACTAGTGTCAGTATGACTTTATTTCAAATGGACACGTTCACTGACCTCATAATATTACATTAGAATATTTATTATTTATTTAAAAGTTTTCAGCCTTTCAAATCTGATTAGTCCGACTGAGAGGCAGCATTCAGATGTCTAATTGAGCCTGACGTTAAAGGTCAGCAGGCTACAAGTCTGTCTTTGTGAAACCAGCCCTCAGCCACTCATGTCAACCTTCACAGGAGCCTGAAAAAGAAATACGAGTCAAGCGACCCACCGTAAAGCTGGCAGCTTTAACCCGAAAAGCGCTGAAAAACCAGCACCAAGAACTGCATGAAAAGTGTTTCTCTCAACATGAACAAATACTGCTGAAGTGCCCTGGAGCAAGGCACTTAATCCCAACTGCATCGGTGCAGCGACTCGGCGGCCTGCGACATGTAAGAAGATGTAAAGAGATTTTTAATCTGCCTGCTACCGTCATACATACAGTGAGTACATGACAACAACACTGACATTAGTAATAATGCTGTGTGCGAGCTAAATAACAGCACTCTGAGACTGCGGATCAGCACCGAGAGCGAGAAGAATGACGCAGGAGACCGTTATTATTACACGCGTGTGCGCTGAAGCGGGGTGGGAACCCCTCGTTAGTGTTAGCGGCATGAAATGTTTACTCCCTCAAGGTGAGGACACAGCAAGAACACTACAACTCTATCTCCTCCTCGTCTCTCAGAGCAGCTATGACAGCGCCGAGCCTGGAGCTACGCTATTTACAAACCACAACAAACAGCCAACTACCAGCTTAACAAGCTCGAGGATCACACGACATCTGCCCCACGTTTCCTCCAGAAAAGTCAGGAAGGCAACCAGCTAATATACCCGTCGAAGCAGTTTACAGTTCATCAGCTCTGTTCATGTGCAGCATGTCTTTAAGCTCCGTTTTTAAAATTAAGATTTCAGTGTGACAACAGTATTAAACACTGACCTGGCTGAGCATTTTCCTCGTTGCTATCAAGACGTTTTGACCAACAAGAGGAGGATCTGATTGCATGTTATTGACTAACAACGTGACCCATATAATGACCATAACGTGTTTTAATCACTCAGACGTGAGACGAGTGACCACAGAGTCAACAACAAAGTGTTTGCTGAGGTCACAGCGAGGAGCATAAACGTCTGCACGAGTCAAACCCGGGCAGCCATCAGAAACTTTTCTCTCTTTTCACACAGAACAAGTGCACCATGAAAAACAGTAAGTCACCTTTTTGGTCATCAAGAACTGACAAATAAAGTCATCTGACCAAATATCAATAAGTATCCAAGTTAGCCTTCTGTTCATTGTACAGCCAGCTGTTTGTCCTCTGCACGACTGCGGTACTTCGTGACATCCCAACAGAAAAGCAGTCAAACTGTCGGTGCACAGCCGCTGAAGTTGGTTCACGTTCTGACCCTTAAAGTTTCTTGTACGCCTGTGAGAACGGTGATCGTTTCTAACTCTTAGTGGAGCCGCCGTGTTTGCTTTTGCAGCATTTGTACATGGAAGTGTCTAATAACACCCAACCTACTGATGACAGCACACGTGACCCGTCGTTCTCATTACTTTTCAGAGCGCAGCTTTTCAATTTTCCTCTTTTTAAATTTCACCCGCCGAGGAGCTCTGTTCAAACCATCGAGCTGAGAAAGCACAAAGAGAAAAGACGCGTTTGGTCCTGGAGGCAATTTTCTTTGGATAGACGTTCGTGTTTCCGTTAGCTACACGACCCTCCCAGCAGACTTTTTCTGCATGCTGTAAACAGGCTTAAAGGTAAAAAAAGCAGCAGAATGTCTTGTTCTGCATTTATTGGACACCTTCAAGGAACAGATATGCACTTTTCCAACCTAGTCGAAATAGTGCTGCGGGGTATTGAACGCCATCGATTTGTGCTGAATGCTGCGTGTGCTGAATTGCTCTCGACAGCAGCGAGTAATTGCAAGGATATACGCCGCGAACACATTCAATTACTGCAGGACAGAGAGCTTTGTGGATGAGCCGACGAAGGCAGGGTAGAGAGAGGGAAAGCTTTTTAAATGTTTGGGGTCTCGAGTAGGTTTGTTGCACCTACTTGTGCAGGAATCACATCATTAAGTGTTTTAGGAACAAGATAAAACAGGGACATTGTGTTTGCCTGGGCTTAAAGCAGGCCTGTATAAATGTTCAGCTGCGTCTGGATAAACAGTGACTCAGTCGGGATGTCCCAGCGGTGTTTTTTAGCTGGAGGTGCGAGGTCACGGACGGGGGACTCCAAAGCCCCTTTGGGGAGCAGAATGGCCTCTGCACGACCCATTATGAGTCATGTTAGGAGGGTTAATGGCATTTAAATGAGCAGCTTGTGTGTTTAAATAAAGCAGCCTTTATAGTTAGCACCGCAGCGCTGCTGGAGTGTTACATAACAGCACTCAAATCTGCTTCTTTGAGGGTACATCGCTGTCTTTGCGAGGCCAGATGGATAAAACTTTTCATCAAACAGCACAGACATCTTTATGTTGGCGTCCCGCTCGGCAGCTGTTAGAAACGTCCAAACTTACGCCCTAAAATTTTTCATTTCAAAGGATTAAAGTGGAAACAGATTGGATGTAGATTTCAGTCTGTCCTAACAAACCTTAATGTACCCAAACACATATCGTATAACTTCCCACTTTAAATGCATCCATATAACTTCATATTGTGACAGTTGACTGAGCATATTTGCACAAAGCTAACCCGTAAAGATGTTAAAACCATAAAACCTGCCAAGTCAGAGCTAAAGACGAAGAGGAATATTGGCACTTTTTCACACCACACTGTAGCCTCCACGATGAAATCGCTTGTCAAATCAAATTTATCGAGTTCGTGGTGCTCACTGGACGTGACAGAGGGCTTCGTACAGATGGATTTAAATCCTAAAAAAAAAGACAGGAGAGGAGCCCTGATGGATTCAGGAGGAGGTCGAGGGGGAAACGATTAGAAGGACAAAGAGACGAGAGGCCGGACGGATGAGGAGAATTACAGCAGGACAGCGAGAAAAGACAGTCGGATTAAAGCGAGGGATGCGAAGGGCATGTAGCCCCTATTAGAGCTTTGTGAACAGAAGTACTTCATTAAGCTTGGTCAATGTCGCGGCGCCGCAGCCGGCATACTAATGCAGACCCACGCTCTCCAGCTCCCTGCAGTCAAACCTCTCCTTTAACTTTGTGTTTCCTCCCTTTCTTCACTGTAATTAGTCTTTCATTAATGACATTTATAGAAAACTGAAAATATGCTTTGGAAGAAACATCTCTGCGAATTTAGTAAAGTTTCCACCAAATCATTTGTCCATCGTGTTAATAGACTGAAGGTTGCATCTGGTTTAACCGCATCCTGCAGAAATGCTCGTGCTCAGTCTCTCCTTATGTTGAACTGACGAGGATACCAAGGCTACGTTCACACTGCAGGCGAAAGCGCATCAAATCCGACTTTTTTGACCCTCTGCGACCCATCTATCCGATCCTGGTGTGACAGTGTGAACGGCACAAATCCGATATTTTCAAATCTGATCTGGGTCACTTTCGTATGTGGTGCTGAATCCGATACATATCCGATGTTTCAGAAAGCGACCGCTGTTTGACGGTCACGTCGCATTAAATCCGTCTTTTACGTCACCGACACAAGACAGACGCCAATTATCAGCGCCCGAGAAGACATCGCGAACGCTTCCTGGACATCCAGCGTAGATGTCAGTGAAACTGTTGGGAAGACAACGTGAACATTTTCTTTGTTCTGTATAATCTGCAGATTCTGACAGAAATCTGCAACTATCCTTCGAAGCAGCGCTCCTCTAAAACAGCAATAAGGATCATTATTTTGTTATTTACATTATTATGTAAATAACAAAATAACTTAAAGCAAAAATTGGGAAACATGAAGTCCGAAGTCTTTATATTAAGGCCATCAGTCAAAAATTGTTTGCTCTGGGTCTGAACAGAGCGCGCTGTGTGTGACGTCATTTTATTTGTAGTGTGAACAAGCAGACAAAAAAATCTGAATTGAGCATTAAGACCTGCAGAGTGAACGTAGCCTAAGTATCCCTCACCAGGTGACCCGTGCAGTCGTAAGTAATCGGTCACCACACCGGTAAACATTCACAAAGAGCCGTCTTATTTTCACTCTGATTGGGTCACAACTAAAATAAGTTTGATGTGCGTGCTGTAGTAAAACACAAAGTCAAAGGTGAGAATAAATACTGACTATTATGTAACATTTAAGAGAAGCTCTGAAATCATTATTAATCACATGTATGTTCAGAGGAGGAAGAGCCAATCAGACACGAGGTTACTTTAAAGTTCATTCCTCAAAAATAAACCCTTACAATTTACCCAGTGATATGTTTGTAGCTGCATAAACACGAGTAGCTTTTCTCTGCGTGTCCAGTAACAACAGTCCGATATATTTTATAACATATAAAAAGGGACAGAAAGAAAATCTCCTGCTGGTAAAAAAGTTAAGTCAAAGAAATGGTTTTAAAGGAACTCTGAACTTTCTGTTGTGGTTAGCACCACTGCTACATGCCATGAAAGGAAACAAGATTCAAGTAAAAAGCACAGCGAGGGCATGAATCCTTTTTCCTGGTTCATGGTGCTTCATGAATGATATTTTCTACAATCATTAAAAAATGTCTCATGAGGCGTTTCATGGATTTATAGAGCTCCTTAAATCTGAGAGGATGTTTAAGAAGTTTAGTGTTAGCATTTTGCTAAGCTGTAGAGCTTTTCCACGTCTATACGCCGATGACTTGCTATTCTACGCCTGCAGAAACCAACCAGTGTAAACAGGCAGTGTAAACCAGTGCATTTGCTTTTTGATTTTAGATGGACCAAGACAATAGTGATGTTTTTTGTGAATGATGAAAAAAGAGAGAAAAAGATCCTCTTTGACAGTTTAACATCTCAGAACAGCTGAACGCAAATCAAACAAACATCAGTGATCCACGGAGAGATCCTTGGTTTTTTGTTATGGCCTTTCTACCTATATTCTATTTTCAAGTTTGATAATTGAAACTGTTTCTCTTTTTTTCTTTAAATTTCATCTGACTTGTAGCAGTTCACATATACAAGTTGTTAAAACAAGCTTGGAGGTGATATCTGGCTTAGAGGAGCATCTTTCTTTCTCCACTCTTTTTAAATTTTCACTGAGCGGGAGAGCGGTGTGTCGTACGTCCCAGAAGAAGGTTTCAAAGTTTGTTTCCCCCTCATACGATCCCATTTTAAGTGAAAGCACAACCAGAAAGATGCATTTTGAAGTCTTTTAGATCGTTCTGGATGTGCTATAAGAAACAAATCTCTCCCACTCTGAGCCAGAAATCTGAATCCACTCCCAAAAACACATTTTGAGTGAGCCTACATCTTTAAGCAATCGTTAGCTTTTTGTCCTTTGCTAGCATTTTTGGCCATTAGCCTACATTAGCTAGCTAACGCATGACTACAGCTCGACCGTCCTTCAATCCACGACCTTTGACCTATTCTGAATCAAGTTGGCTGTCATACCCACTCCTGAACAGGGTATTTATAGTAGTGCTGTGTCATGGTGTTTTGCTGCACTCCTTTGTTTTTAAACTGAAAGATCGTGTACACGAGCACCAGGATGCACAGCGACAGAATGCAAGGGATCACCACGGCGATGGCATTGACTGTCGGGGGGACGTCGTTGATGGTCACAATGATGCCGACATCATCCGGGGGCAGCTGGCGTTCCCCAGGGTTACCGTTGTTGCCGGAGCGCTCCATGTCGGACTGGTCGCAGCCCATCCAGTCACGCAGGATGGACTTTGGATATCCAGGCTCCACAGTCAGCTTCTGGTTATCGAATTTCCAGTACTCCTTCCCCTTGTAGAAGTAGGTGTAGTCTGAGGATGGGAAGATGCAGGGGCAGGAGGATGGGAGAGTGATATCAATGAAAGACCAGAGCAGAGGAATCAGTCAGGTGAACTTTTTTTTACTGAAGCAAAAATAAACAGAAGACACTGAAAGTACAGCAAATTAAGCAACTACCCAACTGCCTCCGACACTACAGGGACCCAAAAGACTTGAGGGTATGTTGCTGTGTCTGATAAACGTGGCTTGGTAGAGACACACAAGGTATCTTTGGGCATGGGCGCATTGAACGTTTTTTTCCGATTAGTCCAATTTAGTTTGTGGAAGGACTGGCAGTGCATTTGTAGGTTTGTGTAGAGTTTTGGGAGCTGTTCCTCGCTTTCTTTACTTTAAACCAAGCTAATCTGATTACATTCAAAACCAGTGGCAAAATAACAGCGTTTGAGGCAAAGCTGTAGACTGACTGCAAACTATTCATTGGCTGGACTTTGGTCAAGTCTCCTTAAAACGTGTTCCAAAAGGAAAACTGTGACATTCAAGACACTCTGCTGCTTTCGAGAAAACACGTGTTCAACATTTGTTGCCCTCCAACAAGTCTTGCAGCTCTTTATCTGTTATCTTTTTATATATTAGAATAAAGCAAACATAAATAAAGGCTTCTTGAAAGAATGAATGACAAGAGAAAAAAAGTTGCGACTCAAATTCAGGATCTCCAGCCAATAGTCGCATCCCCGGGTTGATGATGCTGACATCAGAGACGAAGAGGCGATGATTATGAAACTAAAGTTTATCACACAATATATGAGCCATAGTTTAGATGTACATACATATAAATGGTTCTAATGTGTTATCACAAACAAACACGCTCCAGTAATACTAGTTATTGTTGTGTTTGTCATTGAGGCAGGACACAGAGGCTCCACCACCTCGACTTCTGTGCAGTTAACTTCATACCTGTTCATATGGAATTTCCACATATTTGACGCACTTTAAATATAGCATCTTGTAATTTCCAAAACGCTGTTTGTTTAGCATGTAGCTAAATAGAAATCAGCACTAACCCCTAAAGCTATTTGATTTTGACCTGCTGGACGTTACGATGTCAGAGTCATGTGCCCAACCTTTTAGCTTTTTTAATTAAGAAGAATCGTCAGCTTCAACATAGCCGCTGGATCATCGCCCTGCAAGCTTCAGAGCTCCAGCTGTGAACCATCTTAAACATCTACTGTGGTACCACAGGACCACAAAACAAACACTTCTCAACCATATTACACACATATTGCATGAGCAGCTACTGGTTCAGTGTCAGAAACACTCGAGGTTTCTCGGGTGAAGTGGCGCTGCACTTACTAACACCAAACAGCGATTAACAGGAAACTCCTCGAAAACAGTCTCCGAGGGAGCGAACACGTCCATGCACGGCACAGAAAAACGCCGTCCTCCACTCTGAAACGGAAACTCATCCGTCTGCAGCTCTGGTGTGCCCCTGTGGTGGTGGATCTTATTAGAGGCAGTATCGTTTCTGCTGTGATGTGGCGGCTGTAGGCAGCGACCATATTCTGGTCCCAGCAGTGGATGTTCTCACTGAAGGACGATGTTATGCAATGCCTGCGAGACGGATGCTGTAACAGGAAACACTCAGCGACACGTAAAGAGAAGAGTGCATTTGTTAGCTAATATTACTGTTTTATAAATATCAGCTGTTTCCTCTTCAGGCGTGTGGAGGCAGCCCTTCAGTTCAGCAAAGAGACCATCTTATAAAGTCATGCATTCAGATTTTACTGTAAAAACAGAAGCAGGTGGTTGGACGTTCTTTAAAAAATGAAACAACTTCGGGGCTCAATGGATCCTCCCGGTGGATCAGTTCGTCTCCACGGTCACTTAAATCCTGTTTGTTGTTACTGGATGTGCCAGCTATGATGTCACTAGAGCCCGTCGTCATTTAACTGGTGGTAAACAAACCAGATCCAGTTTGTAATAAAAGCTAACGTTTGCTCTAACATGGTGACACGCTGCTCGTCTGCACACACGCAACGGTAAAGACCTTTGAAGGTTTTTCTGAGGACACGAGGTGTCAAACATCACTCTGGTTGTTGCTCTGGAACAAATTCTCAATAAGTTGTGCAAGATGATGTGCAGCGTCTGGCAAAGCAAGAATTTCTGACGCAGCGACTAAAACACGGTTTGAACCCAGCTCAGTATGTTTACTCCTCCACAGACTCCACTGTGAGCGGATCACATGGCGAAGTAGCAACAACAGAAAACACCCACAGGGCTTCTTGTGCCGTCTGCCTTTTCGTCTGCTCCATCACCTCCGAACAGCCCCGAGGAAACCAACGCACAGTCGCACACATTTGTCTGTTGCCTCTAAAGTCCCTGCAGGACGGGTTCTCATCTTTGACACCACACCCGGCTGGCCGTGTCGTCCTGTCACCACGTCGCGCATAGATCGGCCTCAACTCCACAGAGGAAGCCGCAAGGTCACAAGGTCACCGCTCAAGGAAAGGAAGTGACGATGGACAGTTTTCTGTGTCTCACACCTCTGTCGCTGCATTTTATGACCCTGCAGCATAAACAGCCGACTAACAGGGTTTTTACTCAGGTGTCCGAACGTACACGGGTATTTTTGAAAACCCAGATTTTTATATGCGTTTGGACCTTTCGTCCACACGTAAACGGTGTTTTTGATCACTGAAAACTGAGATTTTCAAAAACTCAGTTTTTGCGTTTACGTGTGGACGAGGAAAACGGAGATTTAGCAGATAGAGACAAAACACTGCTGCTGTCAATCTATCTGCAGTTTGTCCACGCTTACATACACACACAGTTACTGTCCCTCCATTTACACAGACAGGCGTCAGAGTGAACATTCAACACAGACGCTCTCACAGTCCTGACGTCGTCGCTTTTGAATAAATGAAATTGTTTTAAATTAAAATTTGTGCATGCCGTATGCATTTGGTTCATTCCTAAGTTGTGAGTCTACACCAGCCAAAATACTGTTTTTGGTTATTGACATTTGAAATGATGACTTGAAAAGTAGCACAGAAGTAAAGCCTGTTTACTATTTCCCGCCCTGACTTCTAGACTTCTGATTGGCCAACATTTCTACACGGCTAGGATTTGGCCTGTTCTTGACAACGTTTGGCGTTTTTGCCGTTTACATGTGGACAGAGATATTTTTCAAACCTGCACGTGTGGACGTGGCCTCAGTGTAAATATAAGCTGCTGATTGTGACTCTGCATTACAATTCTTCTTCAGTTTACAGTCAGCTGAGTTCTATGCATTTTTAAAATGGACGTATTTTTCTGTCAGCGCTCTGTTAAAAGTAACGTTTTTGCATTAAAATTGCTTTTACCTGATGTCTGTATATTATGTAACTGCCTGGAGTCAAAATAAAAATAGAATTTAATTCAAGGAAGTTTATAAGAAAACAAATGTAGGAGACAAACGGTAAATATGTTGGAAGAAATTATTGCTGTCTGCGTTAATCTCGCTAAAATGACACTAACGCCATAAACGCATTAATGCGGCAAATCTCTGTTAGCGAGGTACCGCGGATCGCCCCGTGTGTGGGGCTGCACGGCGCCAACGCGTTAGCACGGTTAGCTCGTTTAGCTCGTTAACACGCTGACGCGTTATTATCAAATGTCCAAAACCTTTTGTTTGATCTGTAGTAGAAATTCTTCTTCAGCTTGTGTGAAAATCAGTGTCAGAAAAGTTTAAACATTAACACAGAATCAAAACTAAATTATACTGAAACCATTGTTTTTTCTCGTGTTTTGAAATCTCTCAGCTCCAGTGTTGCCGTCGTGCACGAGGCGACGCTGAGATCGATGAAGGATACCTCAGATTTGACCGGATCTCGTCTCACGCCTGAAACCAAAAGAATAATTAGCTGCCACTCACATCCCTCCCTGCTGATGAAGGCCCCCTGCGGAGCGTCCGGTATTCCCTTCCACACAGTGATGGGTTTGGGGTATCCTGCGTCGGTGGTGTGCTTCTCCTCGTTGTAACGCCAGTACTGGTCCCCTTTGAAGAAGTACGTTTTCCCGACGGGCTCCCACCGCAGCGCCGTGTCGATGCCACTCTTGGGGAGGGAGCTGCCCAGCTCCACCAGGCTGTGAGGGTACCCTGGCTCAGCCGTCACCTCCCTGAACACCCAGTATTTATCACCTGGAACCAGCGTGAAGAAGTAAGTGAGCATTTTAATATTTTCAGTTTGTGTTGTGATCTTACAGAAGCAGCAACAGAACTGCCATAAATGCAGTTCCTTTAATGTCCACTGGGGGCTCCAGTGAGTCAGGCCCCACAGACCCAGCAGGTTTAGTCTTTACGCTTAGATTCAACCATAACGACCTGGCTGCCTCCATCTTCTTTATACAGTCTGTGGTTCTGAGCACAAATAGCTGCTCTCAAACTTTATTGACTTGAACTAAATTATTTATCCTCCAAACAGTCTGAGAAAATGTGTTTCTCCCTCAGTTTCTCAAATGATTATTTAATATTTGAAATTCCAGATATAGATCATCAACAATCGGCCGATCCGTCTGCCAGCTTTTCTCTTTGTAGGTTTCAAAATAAGCCGCTAGCTGCCAGGAACACTAACGGAGGCGAAAACACGACCTCCCCGGCGTCGTATCATAAATAAGAATCTTTATAGATACTCTTGTTTTTGGCGGTGGGGTTGCACAGGACAGAAGACTGTGAAATTTAACAGCCGTGGTTAAAGAGCGTCGATTTCCACTACAGCGAGAAAACAAAGATTAAAACAGCTGCTCTATAGCTTTGTTAAATATTCAGCTCTCACTGTTCGGAAGAAGGATATGGGCGAAAACGCAAAGAGACATTAAATAAATAAAAGTACTCCACGAAGCCCCTTTTAAAGGCTGATTAAATATCCTGCTGTGACAGACGCTCCTTTAGGAAGCCTGTACTGATCATCTGGAAAAACACACACAGTAAAAACAAAGATTAATACAAAGCCACTGAATCCCAATTATGTCCTTTACAGACACTAATAGCTACTCAGCAGGCATTTAAAGCAGTTTATAATGTACATTATGAATTAATGGGTAGATTTAAGCAGGAAATTACAGTTTCTGATGTTTTTTTAATGTCTTTTACATCCTTTAACTTGAAGGCTTCTAAACTGGAAAGTTTGATTCAGACTTATTTAAACATTTTGGTACAAATATGTGTTCGTCCTCACAAACATGAGAATAAAGCTTTGCAGTGCGTGTGAGTGTGTGTTCATATCTTTGTGGGGACCAAGACTTGTAGGTTTGCTACGAGTTTGAAGCCATTTAGACTTAAAATGTGATTTAAGTGTCAGGGTTACAATTAGGTTATTGTTAGGTTGGGTTAGGGGAGGGGCTTGTGTCAATTAGATGCCCCCACAAGATATGAATACCCAACGTGTGTGTGTGTGTGTGTGTGTGTGTGTGTGTGTCAGCAGCTGAGAGCTCAGACAGAGCAAAGCTATTAATTTCTGCTCCTGGCTGGCAGAAGACGTCAATGAACGAGGGGTCCAAAAGTCTGAGAGCACGGCTGAAAATCCTTCACTTTATTTCATTTACTTGAGAATTTATCACCAAATGTTTTATTGCAAATGAAAATATGATGTGACGGCGTTCCTCAGAGCTTCCCGTCACTCAGTCCTTGTAAATGTTCAGTGGGGTGAGGTCGGGTTACCGCAGGTTTTTCTCTCCTCTCGTCCTGCCTGTGACACGTAAATCAATCTGGACAGTTGATTTTGAGGCACGTCCTAAAAAGCACCTGGAGCAGAGAGGAGGTCACACAGGTGTGTCCTTTTCACCTGTGGCATGAGGCGCCCACACATCCAGATCCTGTCAGGAGGAGGACTGCTTCTTGGATCTGTGTTGCTATCCTACCCAGCTCAGCCCCTCCCATCAGCGACGTGAACAGAGGATGAGCTGGTTAAACAGTCCATCGATTCTGCTTTTACATACTGAAGGTAAAAAACACTTAAAAGGACACGCCCACGCCTCCAACATGGCGTGCTGAGATTGATTTCCGGTTCACAAGCAGGAGGAGACGAGGAGGGGCAAATTGGAGAAATGAGAAAAACCCTCAGCCAGAGTGGGTCTGATCCTGGTGCCTCTATCAGTGCACTTCCTGTTTTATTTTGAAGGTTGTACATTTTAAAAGTAACCTTCCCAACACTGTTATTCTGGGTGTAAATGCACTGATCCAACATTGAAAGGACAAGAGGACCAGCAGCACACACTTTGCTCACCGCTTGCTCGACATCACAGAGTTACCTCCCTGCAACTTTGTCGACTTCTCAAAAAGGTAAACGACACTTAAGGATCGCTGCTTTGACACAGTGGAGGAGAGCGAGTTTCCATCACAGAGGCACAAGAACGATTTAGCATAACGTGACTTTGATGAGAGATCTCAAAATATTTGAAGTGGTGCACGAAAAGCCGACCGTCAACACGACAGCAGGCTGAATTTAAATGTAAGGCTTTTGATTTTTATACACCTGCTCTCAGAAAACAGGCCGAGCGTGTGATGCCTGTTAGTACGGCTGCTAAATTATGCAAAATAAATACGTTTGGTCAGTAATGAGATCACGTAACATCAATTCAACATGAACCAAATGTCCCTCAGTGAGTTTAGAGTTTCATTGAGGGTCAAATAAAATTCAAAGGCAAAAGGAGTGAATCGCTGCACGTGCCTACTCTTAGAACGCTCCTCCATCTGTTGATGCCATTAACAAATACGACAGTTATCTATACATGTGTTTGGACCCTCAGAAATAAAATCCTAGTTCCAGCAGGACTGTGACGCACCGATATTAACTGTTAGTCAGTGTAGGAAAAAGGAAACTATTTGTATACCTCAAATTTTATTCCACATACCTTTGAAGAAGACAAATTTGCCGTCAGTCCTCTCGTAGGCGGCGTCGATGCGAGGTGGCAGGCCTTTCCAGAACTGATCGATCTGCATGGGGTAGCCCTCCTGCACCTTGTTGTTCCTGAGACGCCAAAACCACCGGTCCTAAAAAAGCCCCAAAATTCATCACTGCAGAGCGCTGTGCTAAAACGGCGGCAACGTCCCGAACTCCATAATTAGACAAGCGTGAGAAGGAGTTACAGGTGACCTGAGGAGAATCTGAGTCATGCAGCTGGTCATAAAGGACGGTGAGAGGAGAGCGAAAACTGGCAGAGATAAAGAAGATGTGTCCTTAGTGACGGTACAAGAGTGAAGTCCTCCAGCAGAACCAGAAGTGCTTAATGTGTAACAGCTGAAGCACAACAGTTATTATCAAATATTCTCATCGTTAACAAAGTTGGCTTCATTTTTTTATCTGGAGCTTTTGTGGAGAATGTGTTTAAATGTTTTCAACAAAAGAGAGAAGCTCAGAACGACAACAGAAACCACTGTGAAGGTAAGAGGAGAAGAAATAACTGGAACAAAGACGAGACAGAGACTGAGATGTGAAAGAAATGATTATGCAAGTTAAGAGGAGGACTACAGGGAGGGGAGGCAGCAGGAAAGAGATGTAAAAAGGAGGAGAGGAGGCGAGCATAGAGGAGAGAGGGGAGCTGAAGAGGAGGAGAAGAAGGCGAGCATCAATCTGAGCTCATTATCATTTGGCTTTCGTGAATCTAGGACACAGCCAAGCTAAGTCCCCCCGCTGAATGATGTGCGCGCGCACACACACACACACACATACACACACACACACACACATGCTTGTGCTTCTATTTTTGTGGGGACTCTCAGTGCTTTTCCACAGAGGAACAGCCTAAAAATGTCCTCGCTTTCTATAACTGTCAGTATAAGTCGGGTGCACACGCACGCGCGCTGCTTCTCGCCTGGCCTAACATCATCGAGTGGACGCTAATGCTTTTCTGTCTGAACCCAAACAGAGAAGAAAAATCAATGCTTTGCATTCAGCAAAGAAGCCATGAGTGCTTCTCACAGAGGAAACATCCCATAATGAGCGTCTCCTTTTAGACGCCCACCAGCTCTCGCTGCTCTTTATGTCCTCGCGTGCCCCCGTCCTTCAGTTTAAAGGAGACAAAAGATGCTTGTTTTCCTGACTGATGATGGTGCATTCAGGGACCCAGTTCTTCCGTGGAAATGGCGGCTTCATTTTTAACTATTATTGATATTTATTGGATGCTTGTCTGTGTCATTCAGGGGCACACGAGAAAAGCTTTGTTTTGTTTATTACATGTTAGTGCCACCATCTGTTTTGTAGGTGGCATCAACTTTATTTGTCAAAGGAAAACCAAAATGAGCTTTGTGGGTTTGTGAGTTTTTAAAGTGGCCCAATTTTGTGTTTCTTTGTTTCCTGTCATATTTCTCCTGTTTAGTGGTGGGCGTTCATATTAAAGAGGTTTCTAATAATAGATGCAATCCCAGTGCGCTGTTTTAAACACTCAGTTTAACCTGCTTTTAAAACTCTTGAGCCTGTATGATATTACACAGAGGACATATCCAACATAGTCATCTCAGGTGCAGAAGCTCCGCCTACCCGCCTTGTGTTTTTAAAAGGAAGCCGATCCGACATACGACAGCATACATTGGTACTACTTTACATTTCCGACTTAGTTTGACTCAAGAATCCATGCTGGCCGCTGATCTAGCAGCCACAGGATCCTGTTTTACGTGATGATTGAAGATTTTCTCCCGTTTTTGTCACAATGGGAATGAATCCAGCAGAGCAGACAGACAGGTCCAGCTGAGACTGACAGAAAACAGAGAGACTCACTGACAGGCAGGAAGGACAGAGAGCCAGACGAGTCTGTGACCTTTTCGAACATTCAGTTTAAATATCAAAGACATCCAAAATGAATTTTTCTTCTGCTCAGGATGAGATTCTGTCTCAAAACAGAGGTAGGGCTAGCTGGCTAGCTGCAGGCTGTAAGAACAGTAGGTGAGATCCAGAGAAGGATTTTTGTTTAAGCTAAAGAAGCATTACAAGTTTTACAAGACAAAAGTTAACGATTGGTTGGTGTGACATTACTCTGCACCATGTTGGACTTTTAAAAACTCGGCACTGTCCAGTATGAGGCAAAAGAGTTCGAGGCTGCAGGGGCAACGGTTAAGCCATGCTAGGCTAGCTAGCCTTTAGCAGTGCTAGTGGTGATGAGTTTTCTGAGAAATAAAAAAACTGGATTTGTTGCTTGTGTCATATCAAATTGTTATTTTTTAAGTTACTGGAGCATCACATCAATCACGTCTTGCTGTAAAATTAGCTTTAGCACCCAAACCTGCACTTCCACTAATGTCCACTCGGGGCTGTCTCCAAAAACGAGTCAGTCCTCACTGACGCCCATATTAAAATGATACGAGTCTCTATGGGCTAGCATCCTGTTTATACAAACGCTACAGGTGGTAAACTGTTTATAACTCACATTTAAAAACTATATTAAGAATTAAAATTAGTCTCATGATTTAAACTCATTTCAAATGCAGTTAAGTGACTAAAAATTCATCTTACTTTGTACTTAACTGCACAAACAGACCTTCCACATCCTAATATTTTATTTATATGCTGCGTCACACTGATGTGCAGGTATCTGTGTGTGTTACTTGGCAAGCTTGCTGGTATTAGCTCATCTCTCTACAGTCTTTGGCCTGTTGGGTGCTTTGAATATCTAAACATTTAAAATATAAAATTAAATAAAGCCATACAGTTTATACTACTACATGCAACACGCTGTAAATGTGCACGCCTGCTGTGTGCTGGCATGCGAGCGCCTACAGAGCTGCATCGGTTGGTTACTAACTGTACTGGAAGCATATGGCTGATGCTAATGATCATGGGCTGGATAGCGCCATATGCCACTGGGCTGCTTCTTTCATCTGACGGCACCACGAGAGTGGTCGTTTTTAGCACCAGCGGCCCCGCGGTGGCGTCCAAACCCATAATGTTGGCAGTGTTAAAGCCATCGTTACCTTCCTAAACACTAATCTGGACCACGCCGTCCAAACCTGCGTTTATGGATAATGATTATGAGACATAAACTTCAACCATACTTCCAACATCATTGCTACTCTGCATCCTCCTCCCGTAATGTTCAATTAAGCTTTATCTAAATCCCCCAGTGACACCCTGTTTTTTATAGCAACCCACGGCTGTGTGACTCACCGTCTGTAGGAGATAACAGCCATTAATTACAGACACAACAGCATCCTGTTCAATAAGCTCGTGTTGGAACAAGCACTCAGGTTCTTTAACAGGATGAGATATCAAAGACTTTTATTGGTTTGATGTATTTAAATATTTCTTATTTAGACGTTTTAATGTTTCTGTTATTTGATGGAAAGCAGTTGGCACTAAATGTTTGTTCCGGCCTTTTTTCATATTTTCATTTACAAATCTGGAAAATAAATAATAAATTAAAATATTTTGCTCTGCTTTTACCCAGTGGTCTAATTGTTTTTTAATACTTAAAAAATAGTTATTTTATGTTATCGTAGAGATATCTAGAGATTTGTTGTTGCTTTATTTTAATAGAGTCCCTCATAATTTACATTGTTTTGGTGTTTTCAATGCTGTTGTTGAATATTTTCAAAAATATTTTTAATTTGTGTCCTACATTTTTTTAAAATATAAAATTAGTATTATTTTAATTATTATGATGACGATGATGATTATTATTTATCAACGTGTTTGATACGTGTTGTGCTACTTGCTTCATCATTGTAATCACCTGTAAAATAAAATTTGGTCGATCATATTTCATATATTTAATAGGACTAATGCGATTATATATTTTCCTAAATTGGGAAATGTAGTTAAAAAATTATGTGAAATTATTTAAAAACAATTAAAAGTGTTGTAATGTAACTTTTGTGTTGCATTTGTGGTGGAAAACACAACCTTTGATGAATCAGAATTAAGATTAAGTTTGATATTTTATACCAGGTTTTTAATGTATCCCAATAAATCACCACAGAAAAGAAAAATCCAGGAGTTAGAGTTCCTGGAAAGCTACAGTGACAGGTTTTCTTGGGCGTAAAGAACAGAAATGGGATGAATCATCGATCTTCTGCCTGTTTGTCTGCGAGCTGCTGCCTGATCGGGAGCTGAGCAACCAAACTTGGCAGACGGGTACATCGAGCATCCTCTTATCTCTATCAGATATTATGATGTCATCACATTGCTTAGCAACCACATACCAACTTGCAAAAACGACATTTTTAATAATTATTATGCATGCACAGTATCGTACAATACCATCCTGTCATTTTGATTTCACAACAATAACACCTGATTGAAAACTTGAACTTCATCTGTGGAGACGACGTCAGCCTGCCAGCTGAAATGATCTATCATTTTATTTTACTGGAGATTCACCAATTAATCAAAGGGAAGAAAACTAATGTGAAAACTGATTCACTCCAAAATAACATTAACTGTCTTGATTTGTCACCTTGGTCAGCTGTCACAAGTTTCTGGCTTTGTCAACAACGTGAAAAAGTAATCAAAGAATTCAAAAATGAGCGACTGTTACTGAACACTGTCAACGAGACCAGCAGCAGGCGTCTGCGCCGCTACGTCTCCGCTCACCTTGAACACGAACATCTCCCGTCTGAAGAAGGCCACAGTGTTGAAGTTGCCATCGCAGATGTTGGGTTTGCCGTTTCCAGGCAGTGCGGGCCGGTTACCGGGCGGGTGCGGCGGACGGGAATGCCGGTCGTGCTTGCGCTCGGAGGTCGAATGCGTCCGTCGAGAGGGTAAGGTGGGTAAGGGCCGGGTGGGTTCCAGCATGGCTGTGGGGATGCCTGGAGAATCACGTCAATCACAGCATGAATCAGTCGGGCACCGTGATTGGTTCCAGAGTATCATTAAGAGCACTGAGACTCAAAGACCCACAGCAGCATGAGTCACTGGTCATCAGCTGTGCGAACACGACTTCTTATGTAAGAGCCTCTGAGACAGCATTATGCAGACCGCAGAAACACAACTAGTACATTTGGTTCAATGACTCATTTGTTTTTATGGGCAGAAGGAAAACCTCGGATTATAAATCTGTTTGCTTAAATCGCTGCCTCGCATCGACACGGGAGCGAGACGCCTGACACAGCAGTGCGGCTCATTCCACCCCATCTCGTTTGTCCACCGTGCGTGTTTTTGTGTCTATTTGTGGTTGTTATGTGTGGTTTTATGTTTCCTTTGTGTCTCTCTGTGTTTGGGTTTTTCTAGTTGCGAGTCTCTTTGTGCTGCTTTGTGACACTTCTGGTGATTTTTTTGCATCTTCTTATTGTTGTTTTGTGCCAAGCAGCCAAAAATAGATCATTTTAGGCCCCTGCTGTGGTTGCTTTGCTCTCCTTTTCATTTCTTTAGTCTGCATTGTTTGGTGTCCGTCTTATTTTCATTCTTTTCCACTTCCTCTGCCTTTTATTAAAAAACAAACAGAAACTCTTTCTGTTGCAGATCCGTCCATGACAAAGACGCTCAATGTTCCAACAGGAAAAGAAAATCTATTCTCCTTTTTCTAAGCGTACCAACACGAGTCGGTAAATTGCACAGAAACAGCCTCGTTGTAAAATGAACAGTGCGGTGCTGTTGTGGCGGCTGGTGTTGAGAGCAGCACATCCAGCAGGATGAACTTTGAGCAGATAAAATAACAGGCTTTGTTATCCACACTGAACAATGAAGTGCAGCGGAGAAAAACCGCCGACTGCACAGTCCTGGCCGGTATTTCCCTTCAACGCTGACTTCAAATGTCACCTGTGTATCACGACCTTTAATGTGAGGCTCAGTTGTTCTGAGGGCCGAGATAACCTTCTTGCTTTGATTATTAAAGGAAACCAAAGCAAAGAAAAAGAGAAGCGTGATGAAAAAAGCTGCAGATACAGTAGATTTAAACTACCTGGGTGTTTTGTGAGAGATGGTGCAGATAGAAATGTTCTTATCTTTAACAGAGCAGACGTGTTTCTTTTTCCTGCCTTTTCTTTGTGTCTCTGCATCACAAATAAATGTTACACTACATTACAACAGAAGCTGTCGTGATTACTTCAGCGCAGACAGAAAGCCTGTCAGGAAACGCGCCTGCCGCTGACAGGCCTTCGCTTTTCTTTGTTTACTTAGAAACGTTCAGTGAAACGCGAGGCTTTGCGCCTTTTCTGAAATGCAACACAGCGTCTCTGGTGTAAACACAAAGGGAAAGACTCGCGTTTTCTTTCCAGGCAAAGACGGCTCAGGTCTGCTTATCAGCCGGGCTCTTCTTCACGTTCGAGCTCCGCTGCCGGCCGACGGACGCCGAACACTCCTGCAGCTGCACTCGGGGCTTTTTCAATTAATATTTCATATTCAAGGTTTACTGGTTTACTGGTCTTAAAAGATCCCTCGTTTCAAAGTGAAGAGCTCTAATATGAGCTTCATATATTTTCCTCTTTGCTATAAAATACACACTCTGTCCCGGTTACGGCGTTTGCACAGCACAGACTCAGGATTGACCATGCATCTATAACGTCAGCATCTTCCTTCTGCTTAAGGCATGCAGGCTTTTCATAAAATGAAATCATAAAAAGTTTAATTATAAAAAGTTTATGAAGCTCATCCTCCTGAAACGTGTCGTAAACCTTTTATTCACCGCAGAGGTCATTTCCTGCGACGATCCAAAACCCTGCGAGAAGCCGCTGGCTGTTTAGAGGAGATGCTGACGTTCAGGTTGCTCATGCTGTGCTCTGTCCTGTGCGTTCTTGCTCAAGGACACGTCGGCAGGGTCAGAGATCAAACACACAATTAGCCACAGCTTCATGCTCAACAAAGATTGTAACCATGATTATTTTGTTCAACGGTGATATTTTTAACTTTACTTTTCAAACACTGTCCATCAAATATTCCATGAAACTCGTATTTATTGCTCCTCACCGACTCTTTCACATTAAACTGATTCCAAACTGCTGCAGGCTGAAGTGTGTAGGAGGATAAACTGGAGCGCCGCAAAGAAAAGAACGAAACGAGAGCGCTCGAGTTTACATTTCGATTCACTGCGCGGTCCTTCTGCTTTTATCTTCACACAATATTTGTGTATTTTGCGTCATCCTGACCCAAAATTGTCGGCGTCAGTACACCGTAAACAGAATGATGTCCTCAGCTGGATACAAAACAGACATCTATGAGAGGAAAGTCTCTTCATTTTTTGAATAATTTGGAATAAGTGTCTTTAATTCAAATTCGATTTTCTTGGCTTTTATTTTGACATTTGTTGAGTTCTACTTCCTGTCTATGTGCTATTAAACAAAGGGAATTGGCTAAAATCAAACCTGGATGGATATTTGGGGGATTTTACTTGTTTCTCACACTTGGAGACAAAACTGACGTCAATGTTTGTTGAATCGTCTGAAAAGCTGAAATAAAGAAGTGACTGAAAATCTTTTGTTCTTCAACTAAAAGGACAAAAACCCAAACTAACGATGTTTCTTTAAACAAATGACTGACTTAAACCCATTCACTCAAGCACCGTTTCTTAAGGACCTTCTCGCTGACATTGACACAAACTTGGCGGTCAGTATCTCGCTCAAGGAGAGCCAGGAATCGAACCACCAACCTTCCGATTAGTAGACGATCTGCTCCACCTCCCGAGCTACAGCCTACACAGAACTAAACCCGAGAGCTCACCGTAGATCTTCTGAATGCCCTGCAGGTCGTCCAGCGGCAGCTTGAAGTTGTGCGTGTCCATGTACTGGTAGAAAGGAGCCATGATGGCACTGGGATCGTTGGAGTGCTCCAAACCCAACGCGTGCCCCAACTCGTGCACCGCCACCAGGAACAAATCGTTACCTGGAAAGAGAGGAAGATGATTAGAGGGGAGAGGCGACAAAGAGGAGGAGGAAAAAATGATGAGATTAGAGAACGCAAAGCAGAGAAGCAGCATCGCTTTCAACATCACTCACAGCGCCTTAAAAGCTTATTTCAGAAATCAGGTGATAAAACAGAAAACAGGAGCCTCTCCGTGCTGCCTGCAGGCCGTCGCTGCCGGTTCATTAAAAGAGAATCAGTTTACTGAGAAAGCCTCAACATCTCCCTCCTGTCTGAATCAGAACAAAGCCTCCCCAGTGTAAACAGCAAAGACCAAAGACGGCGTCAAAGGCGCCGGCAAAGTGAGCTAAAGTTAGCCTGTGATGTGTTGACTCATCAGCTGTGTAATATGAATCTCACATCAAAAGCAGAATTGGCGGCGAATGGAAGCGACTGTCAGGCTGGTGAATCCAAAGCTCCTGTTTCTAAAGTCCACTTCTTCAAAGGCTGCTGCTTGACGGGGATTACTTCAGAGCGCGCCGTACTGTTTGCCTGCAAAATTCACAGAGTTCACAGTCTCACAGAAAGCGACTTTAAATTCATAATCTGCACATGTATAAATAATGTACGGCTGCTTTCGAGACTAAAATACGCTGGAGAACAAGCAAACATGTTGAATTTGGAGCAGGAAGCCATCAGAGTGGAGAAGCTCCGCAGTCAGGCTGTTTCATTACAGTTTTTCTCAAATGCTAAAACACATGTCACAAACGTTTCCACCATGTTCCCCAATGTCCAAACACAACACCCTTTTCCAAAGCTACACAAACACAACCACACCTTCCCACTGCAAAACTCAAACTCCCACACCAAGAGAGCAGCTCGAAGCTGTCAAAACTGTAAACACTATACACAGCATTACACACTACAGCAAAACAATTGAAAACACAA